ATCCAATTTGCAAACTCGCTAGCGAATTGGCTAACTGCTTGGCTTTCGAATCTCACTGGCGCCGATTTGTGGTCGCGTCTACTCGGGGCGAGTCCATATTGTTTAGGTGATATAAAATGCTTTTACGCGGTTTGAATAAAGAGACAAGTTGAGAAACAGTTTCCTACAAAGAAGGAGAAAATAAATTTTCACATCCAACCGCTAATAATATTCGACCCCATTCGTCGTTTTGGAGGTAGCCATCAGGACATCGATTACGAACAGCGAGTTACGAAAACATTGAGTTACAGAAATGACGCCCATGTTTTTGAAACCACGCCCACTTTTGTGAAACCACGTCCAAATTGTAACTCGATGTTCAAGGGTGACAGTCGTGTTGCGTCCTGTTCGATATGGGACTCATGGCGACGTATACAACGCATGTAAAATACGACCACCACGCTTTCAATTAACAGTTAACAGTTACGGGCACCATACATTTCGAACTTTAAATAACAGTTAATCAAACTTCGAGTAACGGGCAACATATATTTTTTGTTTTGTTTAACTTTCTAATTATTTAACTCGAATTGTAATTAACAGTAAGCAACGTAGATTGTAGTTATTGTTCATCCAAATACTGTCTTTCATTTTTTACCACGCAATGAGATTGCTTGTTTCAACTTTTGGGCTTAGTCCCTGTACATCTTCACAACTTTACAGAGGCCAGAGTCGTGATACTTCCTCATCGGCGTCATTCCATATTTTCATCATCTTAGACTCTCTCTCTCTTTTATTATGTAACGATTCATTGTAAGTTAAAAAACTCACGAATGTCTTCCGTGTCACTAGTTCAACGTGTGAAATCATATTTTCAAATCTTCACATTACTCGATTTTGGCGCGTTTTGTTGCAATAATAACAGTAACATTGTTGTGACATTACAGACACGCACATGAGATACCAACTCGAATTTGAATAACTGCTAATTAAAGTTACAAAATATGAAAGTTACTGAATGTGGACGTGCAACACAACCCAAAATTTGCCGTTTATCATCCATATTTCGATACCAATGTGTCGATTGCATGCCTGGTAATTCTAACTAACTACTTTTTTTGCAAAATTTGCCCAGCCTTGCTTCTACCATTCATTTAAGTGAACTCCACATTGTCCTTAACAGTAAAGGGTAATGCAGATATATTGTAAATTACACAGAGGTAACACTACAATACATTTCCCTTTACATCCATTATATTACATAACAGTCTTTGAGCTGAGGCAGTTATGGTTCTACAACCATCACCAGTTCTCTTGTATATATTTATATTTTCAGCCATCAAGTGACTGCATTACTCACATTGGTTCCGTCATACATAGCAATTTCTTCATCTGTAAATGCCCTTAAAGATTCTTGACTTTTCTCTAATTTCCGTTCTTGTTGTGTCCCTGTTGTAGTTTCGTCCTTGCTTTCATCTTCAGCTGAAACTAAATTAGAAGACAGCAAAACAAAAAGCAAAAGCGTCTGAAGCAACATCAACGCCATGGTTCAATATTTCGCCGGGAGTTCCCTTACAGTCAATTTAATTCGTAGAAGGTATGCGGAAGTGATTGAAATAACCAATCGAAATCAGGCTTTCATGGAGACCTTAGAGTTCTGATAATATTGTCAGTGCATCTTTTATAGTCACAGTTTCAACCAAAAGCATTTATATTCAATAATATATTGTGAATATCTTACTGAATAAAATATAGAGATGTTTAAAATTCTAACGCGATTATTTTTTTATAAATTATACCAGTATGCAGTTTTTTCGAGTTATTATTTCAATCGAATCATAACTACAAATAGTCCACTACTCTATAGACTTTCAGTGGGGAAGGGCGGATCTTGATGATAGTGAAGCCGGTGAACGTCTGTGTTGGGCTTTACCATCCGCCTTCATCTGCCATGGATAGTCAGGGCAGGAAAGTTCTTGTTTGTGATAATGGAACAGGGGTAAGTATTCTTTTCATCTATAAACGTCTTGGTAGTACGATGGAGTGTTTTAGGCATCAATGACTGAACGGAGAGGGACGACACCGCGACCTTATATAATTAATAAGGAAGTGTTTCTACAATAACGCAAAGTTTATTTTGCTGTGCATGTTTTAATGCAGATTTTTAGAAACGCGATGTATCTACGTCGTATTGCTACAGGTTCATATGAAACTCGTGGTATTAATTATCTTCAAATGCATTTATTTTAGCTGTGTTTACCAACTTTTCACCTCACTATACAGGAAGTGAATAAAATTAACATTCAAATCGTCCACACCCACCTTGTTGACGCTGACCTTTTATGATTTTTTTATATTTACTAGTTCGTGAAATGTGGTTATGCTGGGTCAAATTTCCCAGCTCATATATTTCCATCGTTGGTTGGACGACCGATGATTAGATCATCTCAAAAAGTTGGGGACATTGAAGTGAAGGTGAGTGTTTTGATTTCCAGTGGGTCACTTCCTGTTTTCATGTTTTACTCGTGACTTCCGCCAAGAGATGTTAACACATAGTCCCTCTATCTGATAGAGGAATTGTGGTTCACCCTAGTTTGTGTTTCACTAAAATTTCACGTGTTACACAACAATGATAAAATATTATCTGCCATCCAGCCCCCATTGACATTGCAGATGTATTCTAAATCAGTTTAATATGTACATATAAATTTCAGTCATTGACTTTTGGATTTGTTTTCTTACCTATATCTGCTGATTATTATACTTTATATATCAGTAAATAGTTTGTTTTGATTTCCCTGGGTTACAACAATACCAAATGATTTAGAATGTTTTATGACAACCAGAAAGTATTGCAGCTAGTCTACGAGTCATTTCTTTTTGATCTTTGACTACCGGTACTGTAAAATACTTTGTTTTTGCGATAAAACATCTTCCTGCAACTGCATTTCAAAGCTGATCTATACTTAGCACTATGATCACTTTAAAATTATGAGCTGACATCATTGTGATGCAATGGGCATTTGCCACTGCTGGTCAGTGATGCGACCAGCAATGGCCAACTAATTAATGTCAAGGTACATAAATGTTCAATCCATATTACCGGTAATTAAGATATCCCAGAAATTGCATCAAAATAATTAAATTGGTAATGAGATTTTTTAAATTTTAAACATCACAGAAAAATAATGCCTTTTGTGCTGCAATCTTGGTTACTAGTACCTTGATTGCAGTTCCCTTTGTTATCCAGCATGCATTGGCCTTCTCTTTTGCAGTTGAATAAAACCTTACAGTAGTTTTCTTTCCAATGCAACTTCATTTTGAATTAGTTTTCTGTATTTGATTATTTGTGTTACTGGAGATTAAGTTGTGAAAACTCCAAATAGCTGCAGCAAATCAGAATAGATCTTCATTGTGCATGTTCCATTTGATGTCCCACTATTACCACTAATTTGAAAAGTAAATCTTGTGGATTTAGAGACACCGCACCTCTGACAGTCTTAGATATTTGCATAAAACTTAATTTTGCTCAAAATTGGCTTCCACAAAAATAGCAAATATAAAATCCTTGTGATAATAATGTATTTCACAGTATCACAGTACATATTCTGCATACCGAGATGTACAGATTAATTGCATGATATAGCATGTGTGTACAGACAAATTCTGTGGTTAACACTATAATGTGCTTCATTTGTAAGTGATGAAAGCAGATTACCTTGACCCTCTGTCCAATTCCAAAAGCAATTTCTGCATGTGACACCATCTGGGACTGGAGCATTTACTCTAAGTAGGGTGTTATGGTATTCCTCAATCACAGATAAAATTAATGTTTGGCTAGTCTGATAATTTTACTGATTCTGTTTGTTTCTGTTTTGTTACATGCATTAAGATGATTTCAATGTACATTTTTTATTGTATATGTACAACTACTAGAATCAAAGTTGCATTGCCACTTTGTATAATCTATTATATACTTTCATTAACTAGGATCTTATGATTGGTGATGAAGCCAGCAAATTACGATCGATGTTGGAAGTTGTGTATCCTATGGAAAATGGAATTGTTCGTAATTGGGATGACATGGCCCATATATGGGATTATACTTTTGGACAGAGTAAATTAAATGTGAATACCAGAGAATGTAAAGTATTACTAACTGAGCCTCCAATGAATCCAACTAAAAACAGAGAGAGGATGATAGAGGTGAGCTACTAATCTAAGCAAATCTGGTGTCCAGAATCCGGCTTTTTTCGTTTTTAAAAATGTAAAGTACTTTATATACCATACTTTCTCTATCAAATGCATTTGCTCAAATACTACTGTAGAATACTTTATTTTCGCTTGGAATTTATTTTCGCTATTTTCGCTGAAGGGATGATTCCGTGAAAATAAACTCCAGTGAAAATATTTTTTTTCCTATATTTCACATTAAACTCATTAAAAATCAGTGAAAATAAATTCCAAGCAAAATGCCCAAAAAGCCGTTTCAGCGAAAATTAATTCCAGCGAAAATAAAGTATTCCACAGTATTACATGTACAGGATTTTTGCATTAATAACGGATAGATGTGTAGATTCATTTCAAGTATCTTATTGTATTTCTGATTAAGTCATTTGATTTTACTAGTATACTTTACTTTTTTTGATATTTTGATTATATTAACTATATTTTTTTAAGAATTTGCAGAAAAAATAACAATTAGTTCTGTGAATTCACATGTTTACACTGATTTGATTAGCAAATTTTTCTTGACCAGATTAAAAGCGAAAATAGCGAAAGTCCAATGAATAATTAATAATTTGTTGTTACATTATGAAAATATCTATCTTATTGAGTTGGAGGAAACCTATGGACTAGTAATCAATTCAGGGGGGCAGGTGTGGATGTAAAAAAAAAAAATTCAAATTAACAATTTGTTGGTCAAATATTAAAGACCTAATGTATTAGTATAGCATGAAATTCTTAAAGGGAAATTTGTTTTGGTATACATACATGTATTGGTTTATAAAGCACCTGCATTGTATGTTCACCTTTTGAATTTAACTTAATAATTTGTTCTCCCTTAGATGATGTTTGAAAAATATCAAGTAGCTGGATGCTACATTGCTGTTCAAGCTGTACTTACACTTTATGCACAAGGTAATGAAATCAACATATCTCAGTACTGAAAGTTACCCACAAATCAATTTATTGATTTGATTATTTTCCCATTGATGTTTGTGTACTTTATTTTAGCTGGAATTAATTTTTGCTGAAAAGGCTTTTTGGGTGTTTTGTATGGAATTTATTTTCATTGATTTTTGATGAGTTGAATGTGAAATACAGGACAAAAAGTCTATTCGCTGAATTTATTTTCACTGAAGGGATGCTTCAGTGAAAAAAAAATTCCAAGCAAAAATAAAGTATTCTACAGTACTTTATGAATTGTGCAACATACATATGATATGTGTATGATCTGTAAGACAAAATAGTATTCATAATGCATGTAAATTTATAGATTTGCCAAAATCACAATACCTTTTTTCAAGCCTGCCTGGGATGATTTCATTCAAACATTACTGATTATTACAGATACATGTTTGTGTTGTGAATTGATAAGACTTCTCTGACTCGGCCATTTTGTTAATATTTATCAATTTTTGTTGCCATATCTTATTTAAAGATTATGCATGTGTTTTTGACTCCCATGTGCGAAGCACAAAATGGGAGTCTTTGCAGTTAGTGTGTCTGTGTCTGTGTGTGTGTGTGTGTCCGACTGTTCCACTGCTATCTCAAGAACCATACATCGGTTTTTGATGAAACTTGGTGCATAGATGCTCTGGGCCAATGCGCAGATTTGATTAGGTTTTGGTAAAAATCCATGCTCGTTAATTACCTAATTTGCATGATAATTAGCTAATTTTTAGCTGTTCTATGACTGTTCCACCGATATCTAAA